CTCGCGCCCGTCTCTGGAGCTCCTTTAGGCAGCGCTCTTAAAACCCCTCTCCTCGCGCACCAGGAAACACAGAGGCAAGAAAAGGTCTCTTGCCTCTTGGGTAGGTCCAGACTTTTCCCCGGACTCCCTCCCGGCTAGCCGTGGCGCACTAACCCCTTCGGGCTATGTTCAAGCCGCCAACCCCAGTCCTCTCCCTGAGCTCCGACCGAAACCGAAACCCCGAAACCGAGCCTCAGCTCGCAGCCCCGCCCGCCCCCGGCGGGTGAGCACACGAGCCTCTCGGGCTGGTGAGCGCCGGTCGGCGCCGATCCTCTGTGCGGGAATCTCTCCGCTTTGCCCTCCGCGCCCCTGTTGCTGCGCTGTCCTCCGCGGCTCCGAAGCTCCCCGCTCCGCCTCCCGCAATCTCTGCCCGCGAAGGGGCTCCTAGTGTGTGGAGACCTTTCCTCCTTCACGGCTCCCTCCCACTGGTGCAGGTACCGTCCTTATCCCTTTGTCTCTGTTTATTCTTTTTTCTCTTGCCCTACCCAGGTACGTGGGGAGTTTCTTGCCTTTTGGGAGGTCTGAGGTCTCCTGCCAGCATTCAGTAGGTGTTCTGTAGGAGTTGCTCCACGTGTAGATGTATTTCTGGTGTATCTGTGGGGAGGAAGGTGATCTCTGCGTCTTACTCCTCCGCCATCTTGGAAAGAGTCGCCACCAAAACAGGTCTTGGTGCCCCTGTAGCAGAACCGGTAACAGTGCCAGGGGTTGTCTCATGAGTTCAGTGCTCTTTGGAAGAAAGTTATGAGAGGAACTTACCTTGGTGAAAATGGAGTATTAATCTTTGCAGGCGACGATGCTACTAAGAAGAGCAAAGAAAAGGGAGCATTAAAAAATTGCTTTTAATTTCCTTAGCTACATCATGGAGAAAGTGGATCTTGTCATCGTTGGTGCTGAAGGAGTTGTTGAAAACGGAGGAATCATTAACAAGGTAGGAGCATCAGTTCTCCACAGGCCCTTGCTCAGGGCATGGAGGTACATCACTGACCTCAGACATCCAGCTAGCACTGTATTGTTAACGATTCGTTCCTCTAACCCTGCTTAGCTTCAAGACTCCACCACTGCAGCCAGTGGCTTCCCAGTTCCCATGAGCCATTGCAGCGGTCAAATTTTGTTCATATTTCTTCCTGCTTTGGAGACTGATTTGTGTAAATTAGGAGAATGTAATTTATATTTTTTCAAAACATGCTTTAACTGGAATTGAGTTTTTGGTTGGTTTTTCTTTTTAATGGAGCATATTTGACATCAGTATAATGTTTTAAAATTTATCTGTTGCTTAACATGGAAAGATTTCATGATAGTTTGTTGTATGTGGTAATATATAACATAAAAATTTGCCATTTTAATCATTCTTAAGTGTACAGTTGAGTGGAATTAATTACACTCACATTGTTGTGCAGCCGTCACCATTGTCTGTCTTCAAAACTTTTCCATCACCCCAAACTGTCACCATTAAGCAAAACTCCCCATTTTTCTCTCCCCATCCCCTAATCTTTCTCCCTCCATAATTTTTGCCTATTCTAGGTACCTTATATAAGTGGAATCATACAATATCTGTCCTTTTGAGTTTGGCTTATTTCACTTAGCATGATGTTCTCAAAGCTCGTCTATATTGTAGCATGTGTCAGTGCTTCATTCCTCTTTATGGCTGCATAATGTACCACATCACATTTGTTTATCCATTCATCTGTTGATGGATACTTGAGTTGTTTCTATCCTTTGACTATTGTAACTCATGCTGCTATGAACACGGGTGTACAATTACCTATTTGAGTTCCTGTTTTCAGTTCTTTGAGGTATATACCTAAGAGTGGAATTGCTGGGTCATATGGTATTTCTGTGTTTGGCTTTTTGAGGAACTGCCAAACTGTTTCCCACAGTAGCTACACCATTTTACGTTCCTACGAGCAACGTACAAGGATTCCAGATGTCTCTACATCCTTGCCAACACTTGTTCTTTTAACGATGGCCATCATAGGAGATGTGAAGCAGTATCCCTTTGTGATTTTGACTTGTGTTTCTCTAATGACTAAGAATCTTGAGTATCTTTTCATGTGTCTATTGACCATTTGTATATCTTTGGAGAAACGTGTTTTCTTTTTTAAAGGTCTTCTTTAATTCCAAAGCCAGAAGTACATATATTACGTTCACTCATATACTTTCTGTTGCTTCCACTTCAGATATGCTATAAGATCTCACCCTTCTCCGCTTTTCTCTGACTTCCCAGATTGGAACCAACCAGATGGCCGTGTGTGCCAAAGCACAGAACAAGCCTTTTTATGTTGTTGCAGAAAGTTTCAAGTTTGTACGGCTCTTCCCACTAAACCAGCAAGATGTCCCAGATAAGTTTAAGGCAAGAGTTTTACATATTTGAAGGGGTATCTGAGTCTAAACTGAAACCTTTGAAGAAAAACACAGTGCTAAGAATGTTCCATTAAGTTATTCACTTCCCACTGCTATTTTTTCCAATACTCAGGATACAAAGGTAAGTTGGTGGCTGTTGAACAGCCTAATTTGTCCCCAGAATTTAAGTCTTTGTCTCTCATTCAATTGAGCACTAGATACTGGCCAAGGAGGCAGGGGAAACTGGTAATAGTCGAAGTTTTGGCTCAGCTGTCTGGGCTCACTTGCCATCTCCACCACTTACTAACCATGTGACCTTGGGCAAGTCCTTTCATTGTAAGCTCTGTGAACTTCAGTTATCTGTACAAGGGTCATGACAGTTCTGAGATAATCCATTGGAAGAACTTAGCACAGTGCCTGGCACTTAGTAAGCACTCTATAAATGCTCTAAATGGTTGTCTTGAGAGGTCTGGAGGAGTTAAGCACACCGGTGAGGGGACACGTGGCTTAAGTTTTTCTTTAATGATCTGCTCACCCAAGCCACACTCGTCCCCCTCGCCAGTGTGCTGCACAGCTGGCTTCCCCCCATTTCCAGAGAGCACTTTGAGGCAGGAGCACACTAATTGCTCAGGCCAAGGCCTCTCCAGTTCAGAGCCCTGAACACGTGGGGCAGACTAACGTATGCTTCCTGTCTCCTCAGTACAAGGCAGATACTCTGAAGTCCACGCAGACTGGACAGGATCTCAAAGAGGAGCACCCGTGGGTCGACTACACCTCCCCTTCCTTAATCACACTGCTGTTTACAGACCTGGGGGTGCTGACACCTTCAGCAGTCAGCGACGAACTCATCAAGCTCTATCTGTAACCGCCGGGCCCTTTCCTGCCGGCGAACAGCTGATGCTGGGAGCAGCCTCTTGGCCCCTCAATGAGCCAGGCCAAAACTGAATTGTTTTTTATGAAATTTTATCGACTAAGGACTTAAAACCATACATCTTGGAGAATTTTTTATTCATTTCAGCCCCATCTAAAATATGTTCATGGTTCCCCTAGAACCCAACCTAAATTGTGCTTATGGTTTCCAGACACTTTCATTCATTTCCAGTTTCCAGAAATACAAGTTAGATTATTGGCTACTTGACTGATGAAAGAAGATGTGCCCCGTCCCCCTCCCTTCATCTTCCCCACACTCCAGACTTATCTGCCAGAAGCATCAATGAAAGCCATGCAGGCCTAAGAGAGCAGGGGTCCTAACTGCAGCCAGGCGCCCCTCCAGCAACCAACAGCCACCCAGGACGCAGGCTACACGGTGCTGTGTGAGAAAGGCAGGAAACACTTGCTGAATCTGCATCATCAGGCTTCCAGCAGTGAACATGAGCTGAGGGCTGTCATCTCCAAAAAAGGATCAAGCCAAACAGAGTGGAAACTAACATGAGAACCCAAGACAGGGAGAAACAGCGTCTTTGGCAGGAGTATCCTGCACGCCTCACCACTTACAAAGACGCCTTCCAGAATATTTGCAAACTTTAATTCTGTATCTGGGAAAGATGTGAATTTAAACATGTTTGGGTCCTAAACAGCTTTTTTAAAATTGTTCTTGGGAACAGTTCAGCATCTTTTCAAATAAATTGTATGAAAGATTTTGATATGGCGTTGCATCGGTACTGCAAGCTGACCCCAGGCCCAAATGTATTGTCCATCTTGGTAAAGACACTATGCAGCCACCTTCACACACTTAAGGCACAATTAGAATGAAATACAGTTTATTCAACAGAAGGCATAATAATTTTCTCCAGAATGACTTGCTTCCTCTGTTTTTCAGATACTCACCAATAAAACAGTACTAGGGGCTATGCAGGTGTTTTGCACACAGTACATCAAAGAGAGAACTGAAGTCCAGGAAGGACATTCAGGGAGATCAGGTGCCTGAAAACACTGAGGAATTTTTAAAGGCCTAAAATCAAGTCGACATCAGTATCTCTATGTTAAAAAATAAGTATAAAATAGCCACCAAAAAATGAGCTCTTTGAGTAACCCATCAAAATAAATATTGACATCTGTTATTTACACTCAGTTAATTTACATTTTCTTCTGTTAGACTCCAAAGGCTGGTATGTTTTTCATAAAATATTCATGAGCGTGAAACCCCTCACATCTCCGCCGTCTGCAACAGCAGCTTTGGGAGAGGTGGTTCTTCCCAGACGTCTGCTGAAGTTCTGCTGTTCAGTAGACGCAAGCACAAGCTATCTGTGAGCGCAGGGCAGCTCCTGGCATTCCCGTTGCTCTCGTGCATTTCGCTTGAGCGGCAGGAATCAGCAGTCATCTTCCAAATCTGAGATCCCCAAATCTGCTGTCTTGACTGATGTTGTGCCACTTGTCAACAGCCCCTTCTCGAGTTCTTCTTCAGTAATTTTGCCTTTTTTAAACTTTTTCAAGAGCCTTGTGTCATTAAGAAGTTCTTCCATGTCCTCATCTTCGATATCAGAACCCTGAGTGCACAAGAGATCAACAAGCTACTGAATTTCTCAGCAGCAGTGTTCTAAGTGAAACCAGCAATTTTTAATCACTAACTACTTGCTCTTAGATCAGCTTCCACAAACACAGGGCATTCCCCACCCAAGCCACCAAGGCAGTATAGAAATCTGAGAGTCCTATGCAATTCCTATTAGAAGATAACTATATACTACACTTCAGTGAAACTTGTTCAGAATTCTAAGCTGAGTATTTCAATAATAAAAATGCAAACTTTACCTCTTCCCTTTTCCTTTTTTCATTCCGTTTTTTCTTCTTTTCCTTTTTGGCCTTCTGCTTTGACCAAGCTTTATTTTTTATGAATTTTCTCCTCCCTTCATTTTCTGTTTTCTCTTTTCTTTGTTGCTCCAATAGCTTCTGCCTCTGCTTTTCTCTGATTTTATCTTTAAATGGAATGGTGTCTGTACTGACGTCCACAGGCACGAAATCTGGAAACTGCTTTCCTCTCAGCTCTGGCATCTTGGGCATCCTCAGCAGGCCAAAACCTCGAGCAAGACTTGCAAAATCGAGATCTGATTAAACCAAAACATTGCAGATAGCACACCCAAAATAGGATTATAAGCATCAACCCACAGAACATTCACAGCAATATAATTTTGTCTACCTAAATGATCTAATGGGCTCATTTTAATTAGAATTAAAATAATTACATTTTTACTAAAAAGGAGTACTCAGCAGCCAGTGTATTCTCTGTCTACTCAAACCCAAGGAAGACTGTCTTTTATTTTATTTTTATTTATTTTTTTGGCTGCGCTGCACAGCACATGGGATCTTAGTTCCCTGACCAGGGATCGAACCCATGCCCCCTGCAGTGGAAGCTCGGAGTCCTAACCACCGGACCACCAGGGAATTCCCAGGAAGACTTTCTTTTAAATGTTTAGAATACATTAACCCTGGCATAGGCCTGACATTTTTATAAAACAAAGCAGTTTCATACTTGTAATACTTCTAAAACCATCAGGTGTTTCAGATGGAGATAAATTATGTGAAGAAGTCCAACTTACCCTTTAATCTGAAGATGAGGTTACACTCATGCTTTGCATAAGCCTGGATGTACGACACAAAAGCTTGCATGCCCTTTTCAAACACAGCTCTGTCAGCCAGGGCCATGGACTTGAGCTTTGGAAGGAGGTCTACTGTGTTCTCCTGGACTTTCATCTCCTGCAGGGGGCACTGCACAGGGACCACAGCGTCACTTCTGGCTGGAATCACCTCATCCCCAAGGCTACCCCATAAGAGCCAGTGCCAATAAAACCAAAGGCAGAACAATCCATTTTAATCTTAAAGCAGAGGCCTGGAAGCCCAAATCCAAGCAAAGTATTTTACTTGGTCCAGAAATTATTTTAAAAATTTTAAAGCAAAGTTTAAAATGAGATTTCACCTAACAATCCTGATTTCTGGTTGGAAAGTATGGTAACATAGGTCTATGTTCCCAACTAGTGATACTTAGCTGGGGCCGAGCAGTGGCCGTACCCCAGAGCCTCTCCACAGCCATAAAGCCAGCCAGGTTCCCGCACAGACATCACCAGCCTGGACCCTGTGTGTCTGCAACCCCTAATCTAAGTTCTGGACCCCACTTGCTGGAAAAGAACTTTTTCAACTACCCCAGCACTGGACATTCCGTAGGAAAAAGGAAGACAGCTTACTTTCTGGTTAATTGCAAGGAAACTGACGTACGACTCTTCCATGGGAAGGAGAAACACAAGCGCGCTGCCGCGGCAGCCAATGCGGGCTGTGCGGCCACAGCGATGCACAAAGGCACTGTGAACAACAAGGGGCGGGAACATGGTCACCACGTGACGGTGGCCGAGCAGAGCACAGGCCTGCAGCCGCACGGCTGATGCACCTAAAATGACCCGAGGAGTTCCATCCCAACCCGCCGCTGATTAGTGCTACAGAAGAGCTGGCTGTTAAAGTACACGTGCAAACCAGAGAGGGTTCTGTTAGACATTTACTGTGAACTATGAAACTTTTTAAATTTATGCCTATCTGATGGTACAGGTAGGAGGACGCAGTCTCAGTAGAAAATCTGAAAAACAATGAAAAGCGTAAAAAAGAAAATAAAAGTGACCTATGAGGACCGCCCCCCCAGGAAGTAACAACTATTGCTTAGGAGTTTGTATTTACAGCTGCTTTCCTATGTTTGGAGGCATTTATCAGGAATATATGCTTGCTTTCAGAGAATAACTGACATCTTCATATATGGTGTATATACTGTTCTCCTTTAAACACTCTATCATGTGCATTTCTGCAAGCACTTTAAGGGACTTCCCTGATGGCCCAGTGGTTAAGACTCTGCACTTCCAGTGCAGGGGGCATGGGTTCCATCCCTGGTCAAGGAAGTAAGATCCCACACGCTGTGTGGCGCAGCCAAAAAATTTAAAAATAAATAAATAAATAAAAAAGATCTACTAAAAAGTATTTGAGGGGGCTTCCCTGGTGGCACAGTGGTTGAGAGTCCGCCTGCCAATGCAGGGGACACGGGTTTGTGCCCCGGTCCGGGAGGATCCCACATGCCGTGGAGCGGCTGGGCCCGTAAGCCATGGCTGCTGAGCCTGCGCGTCCAGAGCCTGTGCGTCCAGAGCCTGTGCTCCACAACGGGAGAGGCCACAACAGTGAGAGGCCCGCGTACCGCAAAAAAAAAAAAAAAAAGGTATTTGAAAATGACTGAAATTTCAGTGATAATATAGTATCACTATTGACCTATCAATGATAACTCACCAGTTCCCCTATTTTTGCTATTTCGTAATGTTTTGACAACCATCATTATGTTTTCTTCCTCAGGATTCCTATTTCATTAGCCTAGATTCCTAGACAGAGGGGGTAACATTCTCTCATGCTGTACCTGGCATTGCTGGGAGGGTCGTACTGCAAAACCCAGTTTACTTCAGGAATATCTATTCCTCGGGCCATCACGTCAGTGCACACTAAAATCCCACTAGAAAATGAGAAAACACCACGCTGAGTAAGGAGTCCACTGTTTCCCCCACCATCAAGCAGTCTTTACTGAGGGATGACAGTTAATAACACAGGTTGCAGAATCTCTCACAGAAGCAAATATATAGGAATAACATTTTGATTTTTCTTTCTAAGAACCTCTAGGACTTTACAAGTTCTTAGTGAAATCTGTAAAGAGGTGGGGAGGAAGCACTGAAAAGATTTTTTAAATTAGCATATTTCCATTGAGGGGAAAAAAAAAAAACCCACAGTATTTGGTCTAATCTTTTGCAGCCGTTTAAAAAAAAACAAATGAAATTTTCCCTCTCAGACTGTCATGTATCCATCAATTCTATCACTTTGCCTAAAAGATTGCTTTTAACATAGCCAGAAGGCTCAATGATTAAGAAACACAGAGAAGTATTATTTCTACGCACAAACAGAATCAAGTTATGATCACTAGAGCCACAAGTTCCCTACAGCCTAGCCACCAGCTGACGATCTACAGCCTTTAACGGGTTGCTCCTGTCTGTTCCGTCATTCAACAAACAGCTACCAAAGCCCCACCGGGAAGCGAACACGACACACAGGTTCCCGTTCTTATGGAGCTTACAACCTAGCAGGGAAGTTGACAGATAAGTAAAGAAGTCAGTGTAGCAAAGTGTAATGGGGTCAGGACAGAGGGCAGGGGCTCTGGATATTTATACAGAGATGTGATAACCAGGTTGGAGGAGGAAGAGAGTGCCAGGGAAACACGTGAGGGTTTCGAGGCAGAGCAACCTGCAAAAGAGCAGAGTGGCTGGAGATCCGCCATCTCCAAGGAAGCCAACCCACCTTTGCAATTTGCGGAACTCCGTGAAGATCTTATTGCGCTTATATTTCATCTTTCCGTGAATGCACATTACCTTCACGCCCTTCACCAGGGCCTCCAGAGCCTTTCCATAGTACTCCACGCAGGCGCAAGTGCTGAGAGAGGGGACAGAGGGCTTAGAGTCATAGGCCGCCCTGGTCCTCCTGCGATGGGGGGAGGGAGGCCGCGAGCACTAGATGCAGTGGGGACCACCCAGTCCTCCCGGGAGACTTCAGAGGAGAATGGCTGTGCTTATCATCCACAACTAAGCTCTCGGCCAGGGGAAGGCCAATCCTTTTACAAAACCCCTTCAGCAG